AAATTCTAAAACCGTACCCTAACTCTAAATTTTAATAGGGGTGGTTAAATCACCCCTGGTTAAAAATAGTTAAAAACAAAAAAAATATATATTACTATAAATTAATATATAATTATATTATAGTTACATTCAAGTAGTATTAAAGTTGCTAATTTGTAAGTTTCTGTAAAGTTGTACTCTATTCACATAGTATTCTTCAACAAAAGATGCGGGCAAGATAAGTAAACATAATATAGAATGCACTTTTAGTTTATATATAATCTTATATCTAAAAAAAATAAATGGCAATCTTAACCTTGAAATGCAAGAAAAAAGCATTACATGTTGATAAAGCCATTTTTTGTATGAAATGAAAAATTAAATAACTTCAGAATAAAATTTATCAAAAAACAATCAAGTTCTTAATAATAAATTTGACATAATTATTATTTCTCTTTTTGAGGTTTCAACTATGGTAAATAATAAACCACAAAAGATAACAAGAAAACAGTTAGAAAGATGCTTTGTTGGTCCCATTATAAGTTTCAGCAAAGATTGATTTCGAAAGCTGAGAAGAAAGGAATTTAAATAATAATTCAAAACGAAGCATATACATCAAAAACATGTAGTTGGTGTGGAAATATTCAAAATATTGGAGGATCGGAAATGTTCAAATGCAATAATTGTGGTATAAAAATAGAAGGAGATGTCAAATGGCGCCCAAGGAATATTCCTTCGGGCTTTGCTTGATGGAGCCATGATCTTGTCATAAGACATCTTCATGCAGAATAATTATGTTAGAATTCATCCGTCACTAATTAAATAGTCAAAATTTATCCTGGTCCTCTATGTTCAACCAGCATCGAATATCGACATCGTAAATTTTTTTAGTATTAAACCAGATTTTTATAATTAAGGTTCCGAAATTGTAGAATTCAAATTCAAACATGTATATTTTTTGTTCAACATTTACAATTAAAATACTGATTGTTACAGGTGAATTGTATGATTCAATAAAAATGGCTATTTGATAAGATAAGGCAACTCGCCAGAAGTGGTAATTTAGCAAAAATAAGTATATAGGAGAAATCGATTATAATTTGTTAATGTTATTTAATTTATAACCCGAAAGGTTATATTATTTCACCAAAGAAGTTCTTTTATACTTTACTCTATGGTGGGTTTTAAGGGCTAAGTTTTCTATTATTCTCCATAATACATTTGTAAATCACGCCAATCTTTTACATTCCCTTCCTTTCGTCAACCTAATACTTTCTCACTCTCAATATTCTCTCCTTTTGCGTTTGTTTCACTGCCATTAAAATGTTCTCGAACTCTATTTTACTGCGCCAAATTTGTAGATCTGTCTTTTTGAAATAACTGATCGGAAGCGCAATATAAAAAAAAAAACTTACAATTGAACAATTTTGTCACTCGGAGAGTTCCGACATTAGGACATTTGAATAAAGCAAAGTTTTATTAGCATGAACTGCTTTAAATCATTAGTTATCGTTTAGAATTAACATTTGCATACGTATATGTGCTTATTTTTTGGATAGATTTATTTGCTAGTGAGTGTCGGACGGTCCGGCAGACAATCAGCCGAACTGTCCAAATGTACAACGCTATAATAAAAAAAAAAGGTCTGTGCTGAGTATATATACGTTTTTTAATTTTTTAACAAATTCTTTAATTATTTAAAATGAAAGTGGAGAACCTGGGTATCGATCCCAGTACCTCTCGCATGCTAAGCGAGCGCTCTACCATCTGAGCTAGATCCCCTTAATATATATTTTTCTTCAAAATTAAAATTTCATAAAGATTCTTCGAAAAATTTGCACCAATTAGATAATTAAACTATACAAATCTTCAGTTTTTTGATTACAGTGGCCGCAAAAAAAATCCGGAAAATAATTATTCATTTATAACTCGAGATTGGTTGATCCAATTTCGATGATTTTGTGTTTAAACGAATACTACAAACTGTACGATTCGTTTAATCCATGATGGATCAGCCATCCTCGAAATATAGTCATTAAACGGTTTCGAACATCAAAATTGGATTCGGAAGTCAGTGGAAGCAATTAATTGTTTTATTAGTAAAAATATTTCAGGAATGGCTGACCTGTTTTCGACGATTTTGGTTTACATTCGTTTAAGTCCAAAATTATTCAAAACGGATTAGCCAGTCTTGAAGTATCGACGAACGATCATTCATGTAATGATAATAGTCTCAAATAGGAAATGCGTTAATTTGTAAATGGCTAATCCATTTTTGATAATTTTGTTTAAACTAATTTTGCTATTTTATAGTTTTCGTTTAAACCAACCAAAAAATGGTTTAGTCATTCTTAATATACACAAGAAATTCCCGAATAAAGCACGATTAGATGGTAAAGTTTAACGACTAAAAAAAGTCCTTGACTTTCTCCGTATATGATTGCTACCAAGTGAAAAAAGCCTTCAAACCAAACTTAGCCTGTGAATAAAATCCTGATTGTTTCATAATTAAGATTCGATTATGTACGCACGTTCTGGTTGACAGTTTATAAATTCTGGATCAAATTTAACGTTAGATTCGTCATGTAATTACTTACTCATTAAACGATCAGTCACAGAAAAATAAGAGCATTGAAGAGATTTAAATACCCTAGTCATGGCAAATGATTGATTGCATCTTAAGTACTGTATATATGTGCGTTGGTCAGCTCCAGATACGAAAAGTAATAAAACCATTCAAATGCCTTCTTTTCATTTACACATTTATAATAGCGTAACCCAAGATTATACTGTTCAACTATCCTCAGCAGATTTTAACCACCATTTAATAGTTACAAATCGCAAGTTGAAAAAATCGATTATTTGGTTAGTTGACAACTAATCGATTAATCAATTAATCGACTAATCGATTAGTTGCAACTAATCGATTAAAGAATTATTGCAGTTTGCAAAATTGGGTGACCCCTCTGATTTATTGCGGTTTGTCTAATTTCTGATTGCCGATTTACTTCTGATGACGTATATCAACTAATATTATAGTATACGTATAAAGACTTGTTATACATATATATATATGATATACATTTATTTAGCATACATTTTTTTTAAAAAAAACATTTAACAAAATTTATTATCCCGGAACATGCTTTGGATGCACAAAGTGTCTTTTTTGTACAACTTTAAAATTTATTATAATGAAATATATATATATTCCAATAAAAAAAAATATACTAAAGTTCCTTATGCTTTTACTTTGAAATTTTCTAGTATCATGTAATAATACTTATTAGATCGAATTTGGCGCAACTTTAAATTTTCTTTTGCTTATCTGCAATAGTAAATTTTATTGGGCTAGAAAAGAAACAAAATTTAATATTACATAATCAAGTTCTTTACAACATGATGAATATGCAAATTATATCCCTACAAAAAATGCTAAATCAAAATATGTTACAAAATTATGAATCTACAACCTTAATTTTGCAAAAAAAAGTTAAAGAAATCGGCAATCAGAATCAGAAATCATCGTTTTCTTTTTTTTTTATTGATCTGCAAATTTCACATTTTTTCGCAAACCGCAATACTGCAATAATAGCTTGTAAATACAGTAACCACATTTTTTAAGCAAATCACTATACAAATCACGATAAATCTATTACAATACTAACGTAACCCTATCTAATCACCTATGCAACCACAATCGGTAAGTACAGTAACCGAGCTTTTTACAGCAAATCACTATACAAATCACGATAAGTCTAACATAATTCTATCGAAATCAATTGTGCAACCACAATAGTCGGTAAGTACAGTAACCGAATTTTTTACAACAAATCACTATACAAATCACGATCAGTTCAATACCGTATTGGCGCGTAATAACGCACATGGGCGTTATTTTGAAATCCCATTTTTTTAAAAATTGTTTTTTTTTGACTCAAAATAACGCCCATGCGCGTCCCAAAATAACGCGTCCCCATATTACATATTTTGATCGAAATTTTCAGGCTGAGTTCATTAATAAAAGTAGGGCTTCCTCTTGTAACCCAAATTTGTCAAAATGATTCAAATTACCGCGCATGCGCGTTATTACGCGCCAATACGGTATAAAACCAACTTAGCCTTATCTAAATCATTTATGTCAACATAGCGAGTAAGTACAGTAACCGAACTTTTTACAGCAAATAGCTATGCACAAATCACGATAAGTCCAATACAAAATGACATAACCCTATCTAAATCACCTTTGTAACCATAATAGTTAGTAAGTACATTATCCGAACTTTACAGCAAATCACTATACGATAAGTCCAATATAAAACTAACATAACCAATCACTTATGCAACCAAATAGTCGGCAAGTATAGTAACTAAACTTTTTACAGCAAATCACTATACAAATCACAATAAGTCCAATACAAAACCAACATAATCCTATCAAATCACTCATGCAGCCACAATAGGTTGTAAGTACAGTAACCGAACCTTTACAGCAAATCACTATACAAATCACGATAAGTCCGATACAATACTAACATAACCCTATCTAAATCACCTATGCAACCACAATAGTCAGTAAGTACAGTAGCCGAACTTTTTACTCTACAAATAATGATAGGTCAGCGAATTACTACACAAATCACAATAAGTCCAATACAAAACGAACAGACCCTATTTAAATCACTTATGCAATCACAACAGCTCGTAAGTATAGTAACCGAACTTTTTGCAGCAAATCACTATACAAAGTCACGATAGGTCCAATGGTCCAATACAAAAATAACATACTTTGCAGAAACTTAAATATCTTAATATATAGTAACGCCATAGTAACACCATAGTAAGTACATTTTTACTATTAAATTTAATTATAACTACAAATATATATAGTTACTATGCAGTTACTGCGTATTAAAATATTTAAGTTTCTGTATAGTAACCTTATCTAAATCGTTTATGCAACCATAATAGTCTGTAAGTACAGTAACCGAACTTTTTACAGCAAATCGCTATACAAATCACGATAACAAACAAACTTAATTCTCTAATCACTTATGTCACTGTAATAGTCTGTAAGTACGAGCTTTTTACAGAAAATCACTATACAAATCACTGTAAATCCAATATATAAAACTAACGCAACCCTATCTTAAATTACTTCACCATAGCGCGTAAGTACAGTAACCGAACGTTTGCAGCAAATCACTATACAAATCACGATAAGTCCAGTACAAAACTAACAGACCCTATTTAAATGCAATCATAATAGTCTGTAAGTACAATAACCGAACTTTTTGTCACTATACAAATCACGATAAGTTCAATTCATAACTAACATAACCTATCTAAATCACTTCTGCAACCACAATAGTCGGTAAGTACAGTAACCGCGAATTTTTTATAGTAAACTACTATTCAAATCACGATAACTTTAATGCAATAAATAATTGTCCTATGGTAGACGGTATATATTATTTATTATATTTTAGTCTTAATTATATTATTTTTATTATTTTTCAACATTCTATCAAGATTTAAGAAAGAATTTCATAATTGGACAAGCGATAATCATGACATTGATCAATTAATTCAACAAACACAACTTAATGCAAAGAAGTTTAGAGAAATTATTGAATGGGTACCATTTAGCAAATTCGCAAATATAAAGTATCTTGCTAAAGGAGGCTTTGGTACTGTTTTTAAGGCAGTATGGATTGACAGATATATTAAAAAACTTGATCTGCAGAAGA